TGCCCAAGGTTTTACTACATTAATGTTAATTAAATTGGGGTCATAATCTATAGCAGTTTTCTGAAGAACTAGCCCCACCATTTAAAAATGTTAACTGTAACAAGCTGAGTTTTTGTAACCACTTACTTGAGAGGAAGAATTGGGTTTAGATTCAAATCTGAGCTTTACCATATACTGTCTGTATTTATCCCTAGCCAATCATAGCAGTTTGATCCTTGGTTATCTGGTCTATAAAACTGAGATTACTTATACGTACCCTAGCTCACAGGGCTATTGGGAAGATCAAATAATATAACATATGTATATCATCAAGTACAGATGGTGTCCTTACATAAGTATGACTTTAATTCCCTTGTTTTAAGAACTTTAAAGATGATGCTTAGATGGGGATGAGAATTAAAAAAAAAAAAATTACCCTCACCAATTACCCCCCCCCAATATGCTGCAAACATTCATATAGTACAAATTAGAGCATAATGCATTCTTTTCCATCAGGTTCATTTACTTGACTTAGCATAACTTGAATGCAACATACTAAGGTTCAAGATATTAGCTTAAAAAAACTATTTCATTGAGACAGTTTTGCTTAAATATTCATTTAAATGCCTTAATATACCAACTCTTAATTAATCTAGAGAGCCACAGTTTCTAGATTGAGTACCTTAGTTACATCTGAAGGCTGGAAGATGGAAAATTATTCAATCCTTCAGTCAAAAATGTGCCTCTTCGTGAATGATAAAACATAAGACATTGGGAAAGAACATTTAAGGCTCTTCTTGGGAACCATGGAATTTGCATTTCATAGAAGGGATTTAATTAAACTCCATTGGAATAGAAGGTGCTGGAAACAATTGCAGACAATTGCTTGCTTGGTCCACTGCCTAACTCTGTACTTATCACCTCCTGCAGCAGCTGAGTAGGACCTGGCCCTCGGCACCTGAATGCTGTACATTTCAGTTGCTTAGTCAAGTAACAGCCAAACAAAAAGGCCATCGTATGATTTATTTTTTCTTAATTTGAGGGTACTTTTTTGAAAAATAGATTGCACTACATAAACACTAACTCTCTCAACTGATGAACCATTTCTTTCTTCTTGAGGACTATGGTTCAACTAGGATTTTTCTCTTTTCCTTTGTTTTCTCTTTTAGCTACCGGTATGTATAAACTAGCTGAAAGCAAGTCCTATCAGGTCTTCTTATTCCTTCTGTCCAGATAGCTGGGCTTTGTATCATTTTTAGTGGCCCTTCATGTATTTTTTTCTTTCATGCAGTCATTCAACAAACCTTGTACAACTGCTCCGTGCCACAGATAAAAAAGTAAACAGGGGGGCGCCTGGGTGGCTCAGTGGGTTAAAGCCTCTGCCTTTGGCTCAGGTCATGATCCCAGGGTCCTGGGATCGAGCCCCGCATTGGGCTCTCTGCTTTGCGGGGAGCCTGCTTCCTCCTCTCTCTCTCCCTGCCTCTCTGCCTACTTGTGATCTCTGTCAAATAAATAAAATCTTAAAAAAAAAAAAAAAGTAAACAGGGTCCTAGAACAGTAGAAAAAGACATACAAGAAAGGCATTTGTAATTCAGTTTAAGTGCTATAATAAAACTATGCTCAGATTGTGGTGCTGGAAACACAAAGACGAGGAAATAGTCCTAAGCTAGAAAAGCCTACATAAAGCATAATAAGACTAAAAATAAGGAAATCCTTGGACACTGTATTAGCATTGTTTGTCTGATCCTCCATCAATAGTCAAAATGAGTTCCTTGAGTTCAAGAGTCCTGATTTTACTAACTCATGTTCAGTACTTTTGTGGAGGTGATCTATAGAAATATAGCAAAACGTACTTTCTTGAATCTCTTATACACAACACACATTTTCCCCTCAAAAGTAGAGTTATTTTTAGTAAAGAGAATAAGAACTTAACTAATACTAACCTGTAAAGAACAAGGTAAGTGTGGCAGTATATATGCTCATATCTGTTCTGTATTGGGTTATTTCCTTCCTACTTTAATAAAAGTCCTAGTGATTTTCTAAGGTCTATGCTATCCAGACCATCTAGTAGAATACCAGCTAATTTCAGTTATCATTAGTTACTAATTCCTGAAGTATATGACACCTTTAAGAATTAATCAGGACTTCCTTTTCATCTTTATAGCATTTCTATCATTGATTACAGTACTTCTCTCAATATAATAAGTAAATAAATGTCAGTCTCCCCCCATGAACTCAGGTCAGGAACTATATTTTTGTTTATCTTTGGACGCTGAGTCAGTGCTGTGCAGATTGCCTGGAACAGAGAAGACCTTTGATAATATTTGTTGAACGGATGAATATTCACCAGCTCTGGTTGTCTAAGAAATTTTATATTACCCAACTAAATGTGTCACTCAGAGATAAATAATATAATAACTCACAACAAAAAATTGGGTTTCCTCTTTTACCTCTTCATTTTGTACATGAATTTCTAGCTATTTCCCTAATTATAATAGAAATATAATTCCATTATTATTCCTAATTTCTAAAAGGCCCTCTAACATGCTAGCCACCAGAGCCTCCACAATAAGCAAAACATGCAATTGCTTGAGGTTCCTTCCGTCAGGGCACCTATAATGATCATGTACCAATTAGGACAAGAACAGCAGACAGCTTTCATTTGTTTTTCTCTCACTTCATTATTTTATCTGATTTCAAAATCCATTCTCTACTTCTGAATTCTCCTAAGTTCTAGATCTTTAATTTTTAACTGATTACTAAATATTTCCTTCTATCCCAGTTCTCCCCTCATAAAACCTGATCAATATTTAGTTTATTCCATCTTGGTTTCCTTTCCTCAAAAATCATTCCCATCTTTCAATGTCCAGCTCAAAGGTCACTTCTTCCAGTGCTGCTCCAGGCCTATCATTCTCTTTGCCCTTCTTTTATTGCACTCAACACGTCCTCCCAAAGGTCTTGCACCCCTGTGGACAATCTCCAGTGACAGCACGTGGAGTTTTCTGAACAACCATGCTCTCCCCCATTTTTATGCTTTTGCAAGTTCTGTATCAAGCTAGAAAGCCTTGTGTCCCCATTCTTGCATTATATTCCCATTCTTGTAGTCTTCCACTGTAGAGGTTACCAACCACTGCAAATGTTGGAATACAATGTTGTCTTTTTCAGCAGACTCTTCACACCTGTGGGTATGCACACACCCGTATGTGTAAAAACTGATACACTCTACAACTAACACAGTGCTCAGTAAACATGTGATGAATGGGTGGATGATGCTTAAATGTGTAAGGAGCCCAAGATCCTAAGGTAAAATTAGGAAAACACAAAAATTGTAAAATAGTGGAGTCCATTTGGAACAGTTTGGCTGTTCCTCAAAATGTCAGACACAGTGTTTCCATATGACTCAGCAATTCCACTTCTAGGTTTACTCTTGAGAGAAATGAAAAGATATGTTCTCACAAAAACTCATGCACAAATATCATGCCAGTGCTCTTCATAATATCCCCAAAGTGGGAATAATACAAATGCTCATCATCTGAGGGTTGTGCACCCACATTATGACTGTTACTTAATCACCAAAGGAATAAAGTACTGATGTGCATTACAACCCAGATGAACTATGAAAACATTACGCTACACAAAAGGTCACATATGGTATGAGTCCATTTATATGAAATGCCAGAACAGGCACAGAGACAGAAAGCAGATTACTGGTTGCCAGGAGGGGAGGACAGAAGGGAACGGAGAGTGATTGTTGATGGATTCAGGATTTCTTTCTGGAGTCATCAAAACTTTTATAATTAGCTAGTGGTTATAGCCGCACAACTCTGTGAATATACTAAAAACCATGCAGATGTATACTTTTAAAGGGTAAACCTTATAGTATATGAGTTATATCTCAATAAAGCTACTATTGGAAAATGAACACAAGGAGGATGCTCTATCTGCTCCAGATTTTTAATCAGGGGATTAATCTTTGTAGTTACAATGCAACTCTGCAGCCTAGAACTTATTTATCTTCCATGTTAATCAATTACATAATTATAGCAATGTTGGAACATTAAAAGCCCCTTCTAAATTAACCCCTTCATCACCTAATAGATAAGAAAACTTAGCTCCAAGAAGGATAAATGACTTGAACAAGATTGTATAGCTAATAGTGGGACCATGAAGACTTCACTTTTTGTCAAATCACACATCTTTTTCTAAGTTGAATTGACATCTTTCTTCCTGGAATTCCCAGGGCTTTTTTCTTTTTATTTAAAGGACAAAAATACCTTAAAAGGAAGAGTAAGATCAATTTATCTTTCATATTAAATCCAATGACTATTACTAGATTATAAGAAATATTTTTAAAAGGCTAAGGAAATAACTGCATCGTTCTGCCTCTTACAATGAGAAAAGACAACTATTAGTATTTAAAGGTTTTACTCCTAAAAAATAATTTAACATAAGAATTCATAGTAATAGTTAGGGAGAGCAACAAAGACCACTCCTTCCCCCAGGAAATGGAAATAGATACTTAGCTAAGACACTAGATATATCTGGAAATTTTCATCTGATCCTTCAGAGAGAAATCAAATGTAATCCACAGGAGAATATCTTTCAGAATATCATATTCTTAAGTTCCCCTTTGATGGCAGAAATAGGTGTAATAGCTAATTTTGATGTAGTTATTCACTTGGGAGATTTTCTATGACAGTGAAATTTTCTTTGAAGTTCATATTTGTTCTTTTCACCAAGCAGGACCTTTTAAATGGAAGAATTTTTCATTTGTTTCCACATGTAAAACAAAAACAAAATCAAAACGTACTAAGTTTCACTGATGATATTAAAAAAAAAAAAGCATTAGTCATTGTTGACCTTCAAAAGCTCATTGTACAAAATGCCATCCTACAACTTACAGCCAGGGGGTAACTCCGTGATTGCGTAGTGTACTACTTCCCTGACAGTGTCTACATGAACCGGAGGAAGGCATACTTGAAAGGGAGTGTGGGGAGCTGAGGGGGTGGGATGGGTGGGGAAGGATCGCCATAATGACAAATACTGCTACACGCTCACTTAGGAAATTCTGGGCTAATTCAAAAAATATTTAATGAGCACTAATTATGTGTCAGACTCCAGACCAGATGCTAGAGTGAAAGAGGGTTATGCCAGGATATTTTAGTGCCTCCAACAGGCCAGTGTTTACTCTATCAGCCATACATGCTAGTTTGCCCAGACAGCTCTGTCTGGAATGGCTGTTCCAGTATCGATAGCACTGCCTTTCACTCCTGCCTTCCTGCTTATGACTCTTTAACTTGGGGAGTGTGAATCTCATGCATAGAGTCTCCTCAGCTTATATGACTAATGAAACATCTGTATCTATATGCCCACAGCCATCTCTTAGACTAGAAGTCCACAGAACGGTTCAGGAAATGCTGATCCACTTCATTCTCTTCATTTGATAGCTGAGGAGAGTTGGGCCCAGAGAATTAAAGAGACTCAGCAGGAGAATGGCAGGATGGAACTAAAGCCTAGGCCTCCTGGCCCCTTTCTCTGGCACGCTTTCCCAAACATCCCTAATTGCCATGCCAGAACACTCTAAACATGAAGTTTAAAAAACCTATTATTATATAACAAATATTACATATTTTCTCCTAATACAAAACAAATCACTCAATTTTACATGTTAATTTCAACTTAAATGGAGTTCAGTTTTTTCTTTTTTAAATCATAACTGTAAAACTAACCATAGGTAGAGTCAATGAGAGAACAGTACCTTGTAGTCAACTCTTCGAGCTTGTCAGCCAAGTTTACTTATTTTCTATTCTCTACTTTCCCTCCACTTACTCTGATAAATATGAGGTGGCCAATTTCTTCATATCTTCAAAGACTCACTGGCCTCACAGGGGTGGATAAGGCAGGTAGAGAGGAGCTAATTTTATCAACTACCGGATTTTCCAGTACAAAGCATTCCGTATAATATTTTACTCCCCTTTATGGTTTAAAGTGTCCTTTAGGTAAAGATACTTTCCTGGGTCACTTGGTACCTATGAAAACTCTAAAGAGTTTTAAATACAATATAATCCCTTTATTCTTTCTGAGTTTCTACGTGCTAACAAAAGCTATTTTTTGAATCTGGCTGCACCAAGAGATAGGACCTTAAAAGAAAATCATGCAAAGAACTCTATTTTTAAAAATCAGTTATTCACATTTTGGGTCACACATGGCCACTGCTATTTCTAGCTGACCGTATTGTAGGTAACTTAGTTTTTTTAAAGAAGAGGAAGTGGATGATTATATAAACTTAAAAAAAACCCCTATTTCTTATTAGCTAAGAAGTACAAGGAGCCTTTTTTGGGGAGGAGAACTAAGTAGAAAATACTAGTAAAATCCGGGTTTTAAACTTAGGAAACTAATTTCTGTATAGTATATCTTTTTTGCTCATTACCAAGAAAAAGGGGTCCATATTAATCTTATACAAGATAACCAATCAAGCAGATGAAAAGAAAATCACAAGGTGATTAAGGCAGACCATTTCTAGAGAGAATCTATTCTGGGATTTGTAGATGGAGATATGAGCTATATGTGGCAGAACATCCTTCTCATAATCAGATTGGAAGCTGTGATTATGGTGCAGAGCTTTGACTTTTAGAACAGAGCACTCTCGTCTGTGATTAAAAATAAAAGGACTGCCTGTGATAATTTACCATTTGAAGCAATAAACTTACATGTAACTATTCAGAACCACCTGTTTAAAAAAAAAAGAATACAGATATTGATCACATCAAACATTTTCATTGAGAAGTTGACACAGACACCCATACAGTTTATCATGGATGGTCTCAGAAGCTTTCCTGTGTATGAGAAACAGAACTACAGGCCTTTTTGTACAAATTCCTGTATATCTTGTCCATGCTGTTCTCAAAGATAGGTCGGTGGGATTTTCCTTTATAAGAGGCTGCCCTGTTGGACCAGTATTCACCATCATCCAAATGGAGAGGGCCACGTGGCTGCTGAAATGAGCTATAAAAAAGGATATAAAATATTAAAGCTGGTGAAACTCAATGAGAGGTAGTATTATATAATTCAAATATTTACTGAGTACTTTATGAGTGTGTGATACTCTGGGCTGCGAGAAATAAAAGACAATAAGGTCTGTGCCTTCAAAGAGTGACCCTACTTGTATGAAACTATTACAAAACACTAAAGTGAAAGTTGTGCCTGAGAGAGTTACGAAGAATTCTGAGAAGAGAGGTTCGCGTGATGTGGTGAGAGCAGGTGCAGACGCTGTGGGAAGGCCAGTCAGGAGAGCTCCCGGCTTCCCCAGTCAGGCAGACCTGGAACTGGGTAACAGCTCCTTTATAAGCTGTGGACCCTGGGGCAATTTATTTAATCATCCCAGGTCTCAGCTTCCTTTACTGTATTTTCTTCAGTGTTGTTTAAAAATCAAAGACAAGGGGCGCCTGGGTGGCTCAGTCGGTTAAGCAGCTGCCTTTGGCTCAGGTCATGATCCCAGGGTCCTGGGATAGAGCCCTGCATCGGGCTGCCCACTCAGCAGGAAGACTGCTTCTCCCTCTCCCACTCCCCTGCTTGTGTTTCCTCTCTTGCCCTCTCTCTCTGTGTCAAATAAATAAATAAAATCTTTTAAAAAAAATCAAAGATAATATGTGTAAAATGTATAGTATAGTGCTGACTCTGCACACAGACGTTATTAACCGCAAGACACTAAACAACTAGGTACTCAACATTTACCTAAAAATCTGAGGACACTCTGAAGTTGGTAGCTGTGGAAACTGAGGCTCAGTCAAGGGACTTGCCTACGGCCACCCAGCTAGTGACTGGCAGAACAGAAAGAGATACCACATCTGTGGTCTTGAGGCCCCTTCCACTATGGCACACTGCTATTGTCCTCAAGGAGGAGCAGGAAATTAGCCTGAATATGAACAACTTCTAGAAAATGGAAAACAAGGCCAAAAAGTGTATTTGAAGTGACAGGGATCCAATTTTGACGATCTTGAAGAAAAAAGAGAGAATAGATAGGAAGCTATGAAATAGACCAGGACTAAGTTGATTATAATGGTAATAAGAAAAGGCAACTCCTTTTGAAAGTTTGATAGTACTTTTATAAAAACATACCAAAGTTACAAGTTTACTATCATAAATACTAAGTTCTGGGCTTAACATATCATTTGCCAGAAACAAAATATTGACTTTTTCAAGGACTGAGTTATTTTCTTAAATAAATAACTGACTTCAAGAAATTAATTACTTGTTATAGGTAAGACTCTCAGGCATGATAGAGATTATGAAGTTTGTACCATATAAAACTGTATGTTCTGGTTATTAAATGCCACAAATATTTTATTCATGCATTTGGAATCTCACTTCCAACAAACAATTTCTTCCTTGACTTATCAGTCCAATGATGTTACCTCTATTGTCAATTGTGAAACAGGAACTCTCAGGGCTGTGTATCTGTAAGAAGAATTTGCTATTTGACCTGAAGTCAATCTAACACCTGAACACAATAAAAGACACCATGAAAAAAGGCATGTAGTAGTTTGGGTTATCATTCTTGGAGCCTGACATGGTGGTCCATGAGGACGTAAAGTCATGAGAACATTTATACACTCATTTTGGAAGAGTTTGGCATGACCCAATAAGGTTGAATATGCAGTTTCAAGCCAGTAATCCCACTCCTGGGTAACTAAGTAAAATTCTCGCACTTGTGTACCAGGAGACATGTACAGACATGTTCATAATAACACTCTGCAAAAAAGCTAAGGACTGGAAGCTACCTAAATATCCATTTAGATTAGATCAGATATGCATAAAATGGTATGTGCCTATAATGATATAATATGCAGCAGGGAAAATTAATGATCTATAGCCACATGCATCAATGTAGGTGAAACTGAAAAACAAATGAGGTGAAAAAGAAAACAAATTCTAAACAATACACAGTTATTCTTACATTTATATAAAGTCTAAAACAAGGAAAATTAAACAAACTTATTGCTGAAGGATAGATTCATGTGTGGTATAACTACAAAGAAAAAACAATAGAAAAGCTGTAACAACAGCTATCTCTATGGAAAGTGCTGAAATTGGCTAGGAGCATAAGGTGGCTTTAGAGGTATGGCTAATGTTCTATGAAGCTGAATGGTGAGTAAAGGGTATTCATTTATCATATTATCACTATTATTATTACTTAGGATACACAAACCTTAAATATATTCCCCTATTACAAGTAATATAGGTGATATGTTTTTAAAAATTCTCTTCTGTGAACCATGACAATAGGTCTCTCTACTTCCTGATGGCCTTGCTAAAATGAAATTTTACCTCATATTTTTTAGTTATATTTACTAGATCCTATCATACTTTCTTCACACTTGGGTGCTGCCTCTTTCACACTGGAAAATTTCTGAGATAACAAGAGTGTTTTAAAACATGACTATTATTACTTCTATCTTGTCCATTCAGTTAAGGAGGGATAATTAAGACAATTCCTAATAATGTCAGTATAATATTTAAAATTGTTCAAAGGGCCTTAGCCAAGTCTTAGTGTTCTTGCTTTGATATAGTTACATTTCTTTCATTAGCTTTGCTGAAGAAATAATCTAGCCACTGAATATAATTTCTGATTTCATAGATATTTTTTCACCAAGCTTCACTCCTGTTGTCATTTTTTTTTTTTTACTGTTTGAATCAAATGATAGGGAAATCACATACCCACAAATGTATTAAACATTTCTACATCTTTTGTGCCTCTGCAACCATATCTACCAGCCTAGGCATTTGCCTGTGTTCCCTCATACTACTTTAGGAATCCCACAGTGTTGCGTTTTGCTTGGTTGGTTGTTTTTATTTGTTGTATTGTTTTGCAATAAGTCATGAACTAATTAAAATTTCACAAAACACAGGTTTGTCCTTATCTCTTTTTCCACAATCATTGACTTTACTACATGCTGATGGCCAGCTAACAATGTTCTTTTTTGAATTCTACGTTTTGTTTAGTTGCCAGGCTAGTTCTACTATGATGAACTACTGAACAGAAGTCTGAATTTCTAACATACACCTCTACCCCACACTCAGAGAGGTAAAGCAGCAGCACGGCTGCTAACCTTAAAAAACATTGTGTAGATTTCTTCTGAGATTGTAAACCAAATTACCATCTCTATCATCAATTACTATAATTAATGTTACCTGGCACAGATTTGCTACGGCTTTGGTTCCATTAGACAATACATTTTTTTTTCATGTCTCAAAGCTGCCTTAAAGTATCACCTCCGTGGCTTGCAATGAATAAATAAAATTCAGAAAGCTTTTTAGAAGCAAATGTAAACCTGATAAGGTTCTGTAAAGAAGAGTTAAAGTGGCCAAAATATACATCCTGATGCTTTTAGAGCTCGTAAAATTTGGCAGTGAGTTTTTGTTATTTAAAATTGCAAAGTTCTTCAATTTAATAAAGAATATTGTAATTCTCTGGAGAGAATTTAGGAATTAGTTCAGCCTGCAAGTCTGAATTTCAAAACAGATGTGAACACAGAACAGGTCCTAATATGGTCCACAGATAGGTGCAGTATCATAATCCTAAAAGAGTATCATAATCCTAAAAATGATATTTACTTCCAGACATGAAAGCATTAAATCTCTAATGAACTGTGAACATATTGAGTCAATTCTGATTTTCATTACTGAATATATTAGTAAGTTTAATATGTGTAAGTGACTCTAAAAAGCTTTATTATAGTAATAGGCTTTTAAAAATTATAGTTCTCTATTTTACCAAGAGTGTCTTCAGCATTCATTCATTCAAAGCATTTTAGTGAATTCCTACTAAATTCTACAAAATATTGCATCAGTACTACATACTATCAAATGGTTACTTTCAAAATGGGGATAATATTTTATTAATGTGGTACACTTTGTTTTAACTTACTCTTGCTACTTAAGTAGGGAGCCCTGTATTTAATTATGATAATGCTATTAAGAAAAAAAAAAAAAGAGAAAAAAGAACAGACCAGGATAATATCCAAGAACTGCGCAGCTTCAATTCCTAGGTATTGATAAGGCCTAGCATATATGCAAAGAAGAAAATGGTCTTTGGAAAATTTAGCATGAACTAGGAGACAAAGGACATTACTAATTTTTTGCTTCGAAAAGAATGAACTCACTTGAAACCCTGATGTTTCCTACATCAGGGTTTCCTATGTCAAATGAAGGCCAAGCATATACTACTCTATACATAGTCTTCAGACAAAATATCTCAAAATACCTCAATACTCATTGAAAAGAAGGTCAGAAGGTATGATAGATATGCTACCCCCAAAATATTAATTCAAAGAAATAATTAAAAGGCCATGAGGATTACAAAATTGGCTACTGGCCATTTGTACTAAAAAAAAAAAATCAGAGCTGAAAGTGACTTTAAAGATGACATTCTACATTTCAAAATTGTGATTTAAGAGTCAATATGATTAAAGATGTTTATATAATAAAAGAGATAAGATCTTTTCCATAATACCCAACAAAGGTTCCTATCAAGCAAAACTTTGATTCACAAAACACAGAATATTTTTAAGGATATGATGTATGTGTAGAGGCACTGGAATGGATGGACATATAGGTGGGTGGATGTATAGATGGATGAATGGATGAAAAGTAGGAATGGAAGTACTCAAAAGTCTTGGGGTTTAGAATATGTAACAGGAAGAGGATATATTACAGTTTATTAAAATCTGAAAAGTATTTTGTATTTTTAAAGATACCATATAAAGGTGAGATGTCATTAAAGACATAAATTATAGCAGTAGTTCTCAAACTATAATATGCATTAGGTCATCTGGAAGGCCTATTACCACTAAGATTGTTGAGTCTCGCTTCCAGAGTTACTGAGGTAGAGTCCACGAATTTAGATCTCTAAAAATACCAGGGTGATGCTGATGTCACTGGTCTAGGAACTATCATTAGAAAGCACTGAATTAGAGACTTTTCTATTTTCTTTTCTTTTTTTTTTT